GGCATGTCTCCGTGGTAGTGCAGTGGTAAGGTATAAACTTACTTAGGAACTTACGAGGTGGCCTAGAATCGAAACCAGATGTGCACACACTATGTTTCGTGCTGCCGGGGACCAGCCGCTTGAAACAACTGTTTAAATACTGGACATAGCAGTCGAAACATTTATTTATAATGTAGGAATGTATAGTGTGTATTTTCCTTTGATGGATGAGTAAAGGTCAAATCCATATCTTCTGGCACTGAAGCGCTGAAACTGCCATGTTATTTTTAGCCTCATTTCTGCTAACTTTAGCTCGCTACACGATATATTTGGGTGTAACTTTAAAGGTCTGAAAATCTATAAAAATACGGTGCTTGTTGCGTGATTAGGAATTTCCATAATCTAACCTTTGTCAAATTTTGTTAACGAAAACATTCTAAACCTATCCTAGACGTGCAGAAGAAAATTAGATCGCGTGAAAATGAGTAGGACAGCGTTCAGGTGTTTTCTTCAATTGAATTTGTGAACGGCAGCGATCTGCGAATATTTACGTTTTGCGATTATAAAATACTAAGGAAAGAAAAAAAACAAATATAATATATATATTCTAACGTGATTTAATGCACAAATACATTGTTGTCGTAGCGTTTTCTTTTACCTTTCGATTTAACGTAGATCTTTAATTGGCGTTCTACCCATCGAACTTCGAGACAAAGAAGGCTATAGTAAATGCGCGACAATTGACCTAAACAGGCACCTCGAGTACAGGCGCATGCTCATTTAACAGCATTAAGTTATTTTCCTCCAGTTATCAGAATTCACCAAACAGAATCATCTGTTATTCTAATGTTCTCTCGTTTTTGCCAGTCTACAGTATACGTTCCGACCTTTTCCTATTTGCGGATTTGAGACGGCTTTAATGTGTCCGCCACTGCCGGCAAGTCCGGTTTTTGCTAAATGAATAGCTCAAGCCAAATTATCATCGATTGAACGATTTTGTTTTTTTTTAGTTCAAGAAGTGAGAATTATGCATCATTATTTTACATATCGCGCACTCAAACGTAATCGATTCCCGAAATTCTGTAATAAGCTAAAACACTCCTAGACAGCGAAACATGTTTGCAGGACATGTAAAACATGTCTGGAACAGGAACTTATCGTATTCATGGCCCACTACTTTATTAGGATCTGTTAGTTATGCTCTTCACCGCTCTCGATGCGTTTACCATCTTAAAATAACTTAAGATCGCGACGCAAACTATGATGGGTGGCGGTCCCAAATACGATCGTGCGATTTTTTTTTTTTTTTTTGAAGCCACGTTTATATCTAATTTCGGGTAAATGTGAAAATATTGATCTGTTTTTGATAACAACATAAACTGAAATTTTTGATAAATAACGAAGATAATAGCTCGAGTTCGTAAATGTCAGACACATATGTATTTGCAATAGGTTTCAAAAACTCGGAAAGTTTTAGAGCATTCATTTTCAAAACAAACGCTCCGCTTCTAGATTCCTTTTCTGCTATGTAGCTTCGGCTACTGCTAAGAGAAGTCTGAGTAAAAATACACGTTGGGGAAACAATTTGAGGCACGCACTTTTCTCTATGGAGAACCTTTGCAATAACGTCAGTCGAAATCTTGCTGATTTTGCTCGCTCGTTCTAGAAACAGCCGCGAGTTTCGCCCGGAAGCTGCCCCGCAATAATGAAGACACAAAATGGGTCTTCGGACTTCACTATTCTGTCCTGTATTCAGTACGTAACAAGGTTCTGCTCGTTGACAGGGGCAGAGCCTGGCTAGCGAGGCCCAAGAAGCTCAGCGGCCGAGATCAAAAACGCTCTTCATTGGTGATGGTGGAATGAACTCAGATTAGAGTTCTAAGTTGTTCTTAAGCTTAAAATCTTCCCCCTCGCTAGGCGGATATCTTCAAGACGGAAAACAGGCATATTCGGGACAATGAATGCGGCCACTGCATTCGGTCAATACAGCTTCTATATGTCCCTCTATCGAAGATCTGTCTGGCCCGAATATAATAACCGGCTGCACAGTTACCGTTCAGAGTTGTCGATGTGATTGTTGATGCTTTCGTTGCTGTACAATTTTGCTTGTAGATAGATGCGAGCGTGTATGCATTCAAATTATTGCTTTTTGGGCTGTTCGACAGGACCGCTGGCTGTTTCCCGCCTCCATGGCTCTTTCTGTTCTGCTTATGCTCCTTGTTGTGTCTATGCACATGTACATGTAAACATTATTGAATTGGCATGCGAAGAAACTCTTTCTCCAGGAAATAGCAGCCCGTTCTTAGAGACCACCCAGGTGATCTCCTCACGCGAAGGATGTACAGAATGTTGAAAATGTCCCATGATTTATCCACTTATACTTAATTTAGATTTTTTCGAATATCCTTACTCAGATACGGAATAAAGTTGTTTAGATGTGTAACTCTTTTTAATTCTAACGAAAGTAATGTCTACCCAAGCTTAATAGATCGCTGTATCACATACATGTGCTTCACTTCCGTTGTCTGTGTAAGCTGGGTCAAAATGGTTCTGTATCAGCTAGATGTCATCGTGTAATAACGTTGGTCGGCAGAACTACGATCGTCTTCGAGGCCGTTTTACTTCAATCGACTAAACCAGCGTTTAAGCCAGTAGCATATTTTCACTCCTAAGTAGCGATAGCTATCAGAAAAAAAAAGTCCGCCATTTAACCTGATTACCCTAGCGTATAATTTAGATCAAACAAAGGGAATAATAGGAAAAACAACTATCACCACCGGCATAGATGTTTATTCGGCGTCATCATCAGCGGAAGGTATAGATAAGAGTATTAGGTGAACCGGGTACACATTAGTGTTATTGTCTTTGTTGTCTATAATAGTGTATTTGGCTTACTGATTAGATTCATTAGGTCCACGTACCTCAAGAACCCATAAGAGGTTTTCTTGTAGGCCGAGGGCCGCCAAGACAAGCGTTGAGTATAATCGGGTTGGCGTGGAGTCAACGCCATGGACAAAAACGTATAGAGAAAAGTGTGTATATCAAATCAACTGTTTCTACTGGCAAAACTTCACGCATATTTGTTAGGAGATTTTCTTAAACAGATATGTCTTTGTATATGCAAAAGGAATATTTTACGGGCTTTAACTAATGATTTTGTTATATGAAAACCTGAGATGAGATTTTCGCGGAGTATGCTTATCCGACCTGAGCCTTTAACGCCTCTGATCTGTCACTCCGCTCAATTCACAAACAAAGAGAAATACAGATAACTCCCTTGAGCACACATTGATGCATGCAATTTTCATAATTGGTGGGGACTTTTGTCGTTAGTTTCATTACGGCGTCGTCAAACGCAGGCTTGCTATCGACAATGAGTAAGAATGAGACAATGTCGCTTTTTTCTTTTAATGGGAACTAGTGTCACTATACTAAAATAATTCTATGTATAGGAACAGAATGTGTTTTCAAAAAATATGTACAAAGTTACCACGACAAAGGTTTATTTTTCTTATGTAAAACGTTTTCTTATGTGTTTTCTGAGACGAATGATTGCTCAGGAGCAGGGCTTGCATATATTAATTTACTCAGTCTCATATTTTTTATGTATTTAACTGCTGAAAAAATCAGGAATTGTTTTATAGAAACATGTTAGCCTAACGATAGCGTCAAAGGACTAGCAGTGAACCAGGAACTTCGAAGTCATGCGAAGCTATCGCTAGTTGAACCAAAGCAGAATCAGTGCGATCCCGGAAGAGGAAGGACTTGAGACTGACCACGACCCATTTCAGGTCATCGCAACTAGCTCAAGCAAGCGCGAGGTAGATACGGATTCATTTGCTGAAACCTTCCGAGATTTGATGCGTTTCGGACGGACGATCTCCTCATCCCACCACCTTCGCTCTTCACCCGCTGGCCCGTCGTCGGTTAGGCTTCATATCTGTTAAGCCATAATGCTCAATGAGGTCCAACCGAAGTCGCGTCGGTTTGGCTTCGCTAAATTCACACGCTAGACGGACATCTGAGCGGGTTAATACCTTCGCGATTCCCGGGTGAACCGCGTATAGAAGATGTTGTGGTGGACTCTACCTTACAGGAGAGCGAACGTTTTGGAGGTGAGAAGGATATTGCAAAGAAGAAGCCCTAAAGTTCGAGAGGGTTTCGGGGTCGACTAGAGGTACAAACAAAGGTCATAACGGAGACCATGAGATGTTTATTCGAGATAGTGAAGTGGATAGTACATCTTTTTTGCACATTCTCAAATAAACTGTATACTATTCAACGTAACACAAGCAGAAAAACGAGTTTGAGTAAGCTTCATATTGTGGGTATCGAATTGAAACAAGTTACAGAATATAAAAAAAAAAAGTATAATTCGGATCAAATATCAAATATCAAAAAAAAAAAAAAAACTAGAGGACGTATAGGTATCCGAATATCGCTTGATCCCCATGTAAACAGGTGAGTGCCGACCTTAACCAGAGGTGTCATGGAGCTGGCCACTGTATCGACGTACACAGACTGCATGGGGTTATGTGCTGTGGGCGGCCATTCGAATAAAACCCGCTTAGCTGCTACTACTAATGTGGCTGTTATTATTAGCATGATCGATGGATGAATAGAAGATGTAGGGGATTTTTTCAGATCAAAATTCGATACATCCAGGAAGCATGTGCTGGCCAACCCCATCGAAATCATCTACTTAACGGGTCTGCTTTAATATTAGTTGGGTTAGTTGACCCGCTGATGGCGTCTGGTCTATTGCGATGATAGCTTCAACTTCCCGCTAACGGAAATTTCATATTTGGTCAACTATTGGCTACCTAATAACACAACAAAAAACGGCTTGCACACGATACCGGTAGAAGGCCATTAGGAATCTTAGCCTACTTGTATTATACAACGTCCGGCCACTATGTATACAAAAAAAAAGTTCAGTTTTACGTGTATGTTCAATAAAATATAATTTATTCAACGAATTATACTTCGACAGCATTTATAAGTTACTTGCTTCACAAATGTGCATCATCCTGCGAATGCATCCCATATATAGATATATATATATATACTATTTATTAAAAGGCTCGGCTCACATTATAGGAAAATGCTAATTTCCTGGTTTCACAGTAGTATCATAGAAGTATGTGGTAATAGCACAGGAATAACAGTATTAGCAGTGGTTATAGCTGCTTCTCACCAGAGAGGGATACCATTGTTGACCCAACGCCGCCTGCCAAAACTAGCATGTAGCTTAACGTGAAAGAAATTCGAATACCCGTTGGAAGCTTCTCCAGTAAAATGATTTGCGTGATGGCCGTTGATGGCACGAACACGTTGAAAACTGGTAGTTGGTCACCAGACGGTGTTAGCGATTGAATCTGACCATCCTGTGAGCTCACCGTACACCTAAACTTTTTCACGGCCGCTTTAGCATTTCGGTTTGTCGTTGAGATTAACACCACTAGAACGTCGTCTGCTGGCCGATTTTCGGTGATGTGCAGAATTGTCGTGACGTCATCCTGACAACTTAACACAACCGGCGGCTGTGTGGACGGGATGATATCGGCAAGAGAGATTTCCTTAAGACTTGCGAGACTAGTTGGATGGATGGATTGTGCCTTTGTCGCTAGAATTCCCTCGGACATAAGTGTGTCGAAACCCTCGAAGGGTGTGTACGTTTTCGGCTGGCTGGAAGATTTACCAGTAGCGACCGCCGGAGGAGAGGGTAGCGATACTTTGTTAGTTAGCTGAACTGGATGCAATGGCGACGAATTAACAAACTGTGCAGGGAAGATCGACTTTGGTGTTGTAGTGGTACTTGCCATTGTTTTGATTTCGACAGCGGCACCCGCCACTGGCGCCGTCACCGCTGAGGATGCGGTGGACGAGGGTTTTATAGTGAGATTTAGGTCCATCAAGTTCAACAAATCGTTGTCTTTTACACTGCAACCATCAACTGCTATAAGGGCGTCGGTTCTTGGACTCACCGTTAGGGGCGATATCTGCGAGTCCAACAACGACACGTCGTCCGCGTAATTTGAGTGGTGTGATTTCGATGAAAGAGGATCAAAGTTTAGATGCTCATTACCGTTCGACGTAGAACTAGATGCCTCCTCCTTGCTTGCAGCTAAGGATAGTGCGGCGGGCGGAGAAATGGCAAGTGCCGATGTCACTCTAGGGGCAGTTGTTTGCTTAACGAGGTCGGTAGCCACTTCGTTACTGATAGCACCGACTGCAGTATTTGATGCAGCAGCTAGTCTCACAATTACTGGTACCCGTGGTAATTTTTTAACAATGGGTGCCACTCTTTCCTTGTAGTCATTTATGATTGCTGTTAGCTCATCGTTTTGTTGAAGCACCTCTTGGACAGAAGAAAAATCTTCGATCAAACTAAATTCGCTAGCCAGTGTAAATAATTTTGGCCGAAGTTTATCGCAGTGTTCAAATATTTGCTGCAGCAACTCCAACTCGTCGGCTTCCATATTTACGTGGAAGTTCTTCAACAATGACGAAAACACGGCGCAGTTACTCGTGGCCTCTTCCAAATCTAACAGTTTTCGTCCTTTCAGGTCCATTTTCCGATCTGCTTCCTTTACCATAGTTTTAATGAGCCGGTTGGCGGCCTGCAAGTCTTCCGGATTTTTTGAACCAAGTAGACGTTTCAACTCAAGTTCCTTTTGCTTGTCAGTAAAAATTTCATCTTCCCTCGGTGGTAGGGCTTCGATTTGTTCAGCTTCGTCTTCTCGTGGTAATACATGTACTGGGTCTTCCTCGACGACACCCTGGCGCTTCAGCATTGCATATGCATCAACGATCTTCGTTTCGTGTGCTAGAAGAATACTCCATTTATACAGAATTTCAACTACTCGCCTTTTAACTGATTCGGGAGCGCGTTGACCTAAGTATTTGGGCGATATTACACGAATGAGCTCATTGAGAAAGCGAAATTTGCCAACCTCATTGTTTAGTTTTCCTCCGCATCGTGAAACGCACTCCTCGAGCACTTCAAGCGCGCGTAACGCCTCCCTCTCTTGTGGACTCTGTACTTTGTGCGCGATAATTCGTAACACCTCTTGTGGCGCATCTCTGCTCAACAAGATGAGTTGGCATAGCTTTTGGACAGCTTCAAGATTCATCTCGCGGTCGAGTGGGTTCGTGGCCTGAGTTAGTGCCAGGTCGAGACCCTCGGCATTGCCATTAGCCATGTCCCCTCACGTAATCGTTGTTCCAGCTGGATCGTCCTAGCAGAAAATTCGACAATCATCAGATCAACTGCATACTTCGTTGGAACATTTCTGCTGACCAGCAAATCCCGTCATCGATTCGACGGCCTGCCATTAAGGTCGATGGCGTACGCCGGCGTGGATTACAACCGCTCTGTGCTGTGCTGTGCTTGTGATCCGGACAATCGCTATACAGCTGATGATGTTTATGCGGATGCACACACGAGTTACGAAATCACAATGTTTTCACATCATCAATCTCGAGTAGCAATCGGTCACCGTGGCAATGGCGGTATCGAAACGCCAGGGGTCACACAACTTATGATCGAAAAACCCCCTGCCACTGGGTCAGCCTCAAACAGTAATGCTACAAGCGTAGACAGTGTAGGAGGCAGCCTCCTGTCCAGTGCTCCTGAATCCTGCTTGATATTCTGTATATGCTAGCCGTTGTTTTGATCACTTAGCGCATGCGCCGAAAACCGCTCCTCTGTTCCGAGCAGAGCATTGGAGCCGGCCACTATAACCCTTGTATAGGTGAGCAGGAGGAGTACGCGCGGCAACACTCGAATCAATTGCGTGTGGAACTAGAATAGAAAAGAGAAATTGCAGGATCAACAAACGGTTCGATTTGTCCCGACCTCCTAGACACCCACGGTGCATTGATCGAATATAGTTGAGTCATGTTATTTAAGGTTAGCTCAAATTGCCTACTTTGTAAATTGATTCAAAAAAAGAAAAGGAGAATAGCCACAAGCTTCATTGGATAGGGTATTTTTTTTTAAAACTGAAATGCGAAAAAGATCATAGGTTCATCAGTGTATCTATTATCGAATTTTCGTTTTGTTTTTTTTTTTTATAGTTCCCTCTTTACTGCCGTTTTTGGTTTTGACAAAATGACAATATGAAAATAAGAACCCAATGTTGAATACACTTAGGTAGTAAAACAAGGACTTGTGTAATTTTCATTTTCAGTCTTACTCAATCTGTCCTCATGAGTTATGCTTCATTTCATACTCACTCAAATGGACATATTTCGCAAGCCTTGCAAAAATTAAGGAAAAAATAAATGTAATGAAGTTTTTTTTATCCACTTTCTATTTTTGCGTTAAAATTATGCACACATTTATTGCGTACAGTAAAAAAAAACATAATTGTGCCTTTTTAGACACTAATCAGCAACCTCTGTGGCTTTAAAACGATTCTTATTGATGAACGCTATCGTCGCCCTGCTATTTTATATATTCTGCTTTGTTTAAACAGAGGAAAACGAGTGCATAGTGCGGACCGCCTTCGTTAGTCATCTTTGGGAGAGTTTCACGATAAAACGAAGCGGGACAGACGATAGCAGCAGAGGCAAAAACAGAAAAACTTGAAGCAATTCGATAGCAATGAAGATGATTTTTTTAGTCTACATATAATAGCTATATAGCGGTCTCCTTGTTACTGAGCTTTTGTGCTTATCGGCTCTCTTTTAGGAAAGAGAGTTTTTTTTTTAAATAATAAAGAGAGAAACACTATTCGAAGCGCATTGAGTAGAAGCCTTGTCCCAATTGAATGAATGACATCATTCCATCTGAAACGAAATTGTTTGATTTCGGTTTTTAATTTTTGCGTTATATTGCAGCGATAAGATCGCACTTTGTCTACGGAAAGCCCAGTAAGTCAATCGTCAGTGGGCTTTCTACAGTTGGACACAGACAAAGTACGGAAGGGTTTCGCCGCCGAAGGTACTTGGAATGGCATGTTCTATGGAGCCATTTGCTGTAACCGATTCCCACGGATCTTAATTCCCTATTTTTTTTTTGCGTTATGTATTGTACCCCATCTTCATTTTGGTCTCAGCAAATAGTATATCCGTTATCGGCGGTTGCAACGGCGCAGAACTGTAACCAGACCAGTGGTAGCGTATTTTTTTCTCGTATAGTTTCACTTTCATGACACAATAGGAATATCTATTATAATATGTATACATATATATATATGGCTGAAATATGTCCGGCGTCGTTCATCAAGACGTATTTGACTAGATTCCTACCTCCCGTTACCAATTATCGATCCACAGTGAAACAAAACATTACGTTTTTTTTACAAACCTATGACAAGAAAAAAAAAAAAAAGCAGCTTTACGTCTAATTTTCTGTGCGGTTCAATGATCGTTATATAAGCGATATGTTAGCGTAACAAGGACTGAAAATAATTTACGCGTCAGAATTATACAATCGAACGTGAACAGAAATCGATGGACTGAAACTGTGATGACGAGAAATTGCACGATGCCGTACGTGATTTTACACGAGATTACGGTAGTGTTTAATGGCTGTGGAACTCACACGCGCTGATACTGGAGCAACAAGTTACATGTTCGACATATCAATAATAATAGATTAGATTACATAGGGATTGTGGACGGACAGAAGAGATCGTAAATCACCTTCTTCAAACGTCCGGCGTACCACCTAACGCGTATCGTCAGAACCTATAGCAGTCACCGTCTAAGACAGAACCGTATCGCACACATCTGGTCTTACCTCTAGGTTTTTTTTTATTCTTTAGTAAAATTTCTGCACGCAAATGAATATTAGCTAGGTTTTTAATAGGGACTTTATTAAATATCAATTTGCATTCAAATTCAAGCACAGATAATTTCAGGGTTTGATCGTCTGCAGTTGTTCGAGTGTTGGCCTTCTTCGTCCTTCACCATTTTGGCCTAGCAGCTCAGATTTGGCTAACGACTTTCCTCGGAGCGGAAGGTGATGTAGTTGATGGCGAAGCAAATTTGTACCAATCAGCAGCGGTGTGGACACGGCGGGACCGTCTGTTAGCTACGAAGTGCGCCAGCTAAGTGAACTGTTCCACCTTTCTTTACTCTCCTTCTGTCTCCTATGTTCGACATTGGCGTCCATTGCTTAACAGCATGGAGGAAGCAATTTATAACCACTCGAGACCTCGCTTTCAGCCTTGCTGGTGAGAAGTACATGATCGGTATCGTTATTGTTGTTATTATTACGAATCATTAGTTCGGCGTTACTTGTAAATGTCAGACTATACGTTTATACAGGAGGTGTATAGATATGTATTTTGAACGGACGTCGTTTTGACGCCTCATAAATACAACTTTGAGCCGCAGACGTCCGGCAGCAGAAGCACCACCGACGGTAAAGGCAATTCTGCATGAATAACTCACAAGTTGATCAGAGTTGTACATGCCAGGCCGCTCTGCAATCCTTTGACGGTTGTGCATACGCATACATATACCGATGGACAACAATAAACCTCATCGTTTCTTCTGCTCAAGTTGTAAGCTTGCAACGGCTCAAATGCTCAGAAAATCGACTTATGCAGCACCGAGCATCAGTAGATAAAGTGTATATAAACGAGCCGGCCGCAAATAGATTTCGATATATATATATATATATATATATTATGGGTCATCGCGGTTCGAGAACTTTCAGGGCTGAATAAATTTTGGTTAATAGCACTATTTATTAGATACGAGTGTTGCTTTAGTCGTACGAGCTGACACAAAACAATTTGCAAATATGCATTTGCCGCAGTGAAATCCTATTGCCAAACTGCTGGAGATGCTTGAAAAAACCATATATATATATAATTCTTACAGTTTTTGATCAAGCAAAGATAGTTCAAAAGTGAACAATGATTGATTAACTATATCTTAATTATCCTATTAGGCATAAATAATTAGACTTATAAAATGTTGTCAATTCATTTCGTCTAACGATCTTTTTTCTGTTCTAAGTAGGCTTCACATTGAGGTTATGTCTCGTACCGATACCCAAGCAAGACAAATTGCATTTGTAATGACTAACAAAACGAACTCGGTCGTCCTTAAAGTTGAACGTGCATTGGCCGTCTTGTCCGAATTAAGGAATGTTGCGCAACCAGTCTGAGACTAAACTGGAACTATAAGTTTGTCGAACTTCTGCTTGCAAACCTGACGATCGTAGCGACGGTACCCGCGCGCATTGCCTGCTAGAAACTGTATCAGTGGCAAACCGGCCCGTAGTCGAGCAGCTGTACAGTATCAAACGTATCGTGTTATCATAACTAGCTTTCTTCCTGGTCATGCGCTGATTGCCGTCTCATTTAGTCGGCGACCTGTGAGCCTGAAATCAACCTGTGCGAACGATAGGTAATGGAATCTTGTTTGCCCCGCCAAGGTAATTAGTCATGTCAATTTAGTACATGGGCATAGCTGCACGCACATCCACACACACATTTAGAAATCGAAATAAAGGGGGCGAATCGAATTTTCTTGTTTTAACTCTATTCAGTTCTATTGCTCCTTCATTCTACGAACTAATTGTACATAAAAGCAAGATACTGGCACAGCAAGGATGAACAAAATGGACTCAGCAGACTACGAATATATTTAGCTAGAATAGGAAAAAGCACACACAGCAGCAGCAAGCGTTCATGCTGTGAGAGCGCCAGAGGTACAGGTAACAAGAAGCGTCCGATTTTTTGCCTGTTACCAGTTGAGATTTAACTGAAATCGCCAACCCTCTATAGCTTACTAGCATCAAACCTCAGAGCTCACAGCGAGACTGAGATCCGCTTTAGATTGGAGACAGAAAACGCCGCAATCACATTTTTGTTACTTTTTCTTTGTTTTTTTTTTCTTTTTTTACTAATCTTAATTTATCCGCTCGCACAGACGAAGGCAAATATAAACTATAGCGCGTATCGTGTGCACACACAATTTCACAGATCATCCTTTTTCACGGCGAGCACCAAAGCTGAAGCTGAAGTTATCGTCAGTATCATATGCATCAGCCCAGCGTTTAACGGGTTCCAAGATCTGCGTGCCGGTTCAAGTGTAGACAAGCGTCCACGATGCGCCGCTATCGCGTGTACTATACCGGCATGCTACTCCGGCTGTTCATTCAGATCGACGAACCGCTTCGTGTCGATACGCAGCGCAGGATCGTGCAATTGCCATACATTCCCGCAAAGGTGTCTGCGTTCGCTAGAGATAAGTCAATGTTTCGCTTGGTCTGATCAAACGGGTTTTGTAGCTTTGTATTCCCAGCATATTTGTTTCTTGTTTGGCGCCGATGATGTGGAAGAAGCGAACGAGTTCGAGCAAAAATAAGAATAGCACAGGCGGCGACGGTAAAAGATGCAAGAGCAAAAGTGGTTCAGCAGCGCCGACAAACGGTACTTACCTGATGCTGCTTTTCGGCCAGTTGTCATACAGGTTTGATTTGTAAATAACAGCAACAACAAAAGGCGAAGATCGAGGCATACGCAACAGAAAGTCGAAACAAACTGGGATACAAAGGACTACTAAACACACTTTTCGACTATTTACTCTGGCCGTAGAGAGCCTTTGAACGAATTATGCTTCGAAGCTACCAAGCAATGTTTGAATCCGTTCACCCAACGACCCGTTAGTAGTTTCCACTGGCTGGACAGCTGGTGGCAGCAAACCATTTTCAGGTAAGAGCCAGCGGACTTCATCTTAGCGAACTTCAACGGGAGGAACTGACCTCAGCATCACCCATTTTATTTCACGCCGGACAATAACAATACTATACGATTGGGTGCAATCGGTTTTCTCTATTAGAATCG